CCTGCACTCTGAAGATGCTGGTCACAGATGCTGGCGAAACGTTAGGAAACAAAACTTCCAGTACACAGCCACACAGCCTGGAAGACCCACACCAGCCTTTGGACAACCCATCCTTGCCTTCAAGACCAAGTGAAATCTAATATAAGAGTTGCTCTCATATATGTAGATCTATTATTTATTGATTTGGTAGATTTATACCGTGCCTTTTGTTCAGAGCTCAGGGCAGTATATATAGTGCTGTGTCCTCCTACTTTTCCTCACCACAATTACCCTGTGAGGTAGGCTGGGCTAAAGAAAAGTGACCAAAGCTTTCCAGTGAGCTTCCAGGATTCAGAGTGACCAGGGAGTTTCTAGATTTCTTCAGTGCCAGCCAATCCTAACTCAGTGCTTCTCAACTTGGTGTCTTTAAAATGTGTGGACTTCCTGGCTGGGGAATTCTGGGAGTTGAAGTCCACACATGCTGGCTGGGGAACTCTGGGAGTTGAAGTCCATACATCTTAAAGCTGCCAAGGTTGAGAAACTCTGCCATAACTATTACTCCATGAAGGGAGAAAGCCCGCTCACCTACATTTAAAAGGAATGAAATAGACTGTGTACCTTGAGAGAAAAAAACATGATTTGTTTTTACTGAATATCATGGATGACGGGGGGAGATTGTGGGATAGCTGGAGGCAAAACAGATGAATATTTATCTCAGAAAAGGCAACTCAGTCCAGCTGCTGAGAGATGGGAAAAAGCACTTCAAAGAGAGTTCACTTTACAGGCAGTTCTCGATTTACGACCACAATTGGGACTGGAATTTCTGTTGCTAAGTGATGCGGTCGTAAAGCAAAATGACACGTGACTGCATCACTTAGCAACAGCAATCCCGCCAGTCCTGGATGCCATTGTTAACCGAGAATTGCAGGTTGTTAATCTATTTATTACTTATTTAAATATATTACTTATTTAAGATTGCTTTATATTGCATTTTAATTGATTTTATCTCTTCTGTAAATGACCCAGAGTCGCTTTTTAATGAGATGGGCAGTGACAAATTTGATATATAAATTAAAAAAATAAAAAATAGTACTCACCCCAATCCAAGCCATTCCGGGCTTGGCCCCTCCCAGCCCCGAACCTCAGTAAAGTAAGGGACTGCCTCCAACTCCCCCCACCCACCTATCTCCCCCCCATCTCTGCCCTTTTGGCCACCCTGCCTGCCTTGCAGGGTGGCAAGCAGCCCCAGAACTGCATGGCTCTGGGGCTACTTGCCATGCCCCGGGAAGCTGCAGCCAACCCAGCCC